GTACTCATGCCATCAGCCAGGTGAGGGCTTACAGCGAGTTGTCATCTGAAGTGGTGACGAATAGTGGCGTCCGTCAAGGATGCCCATTATCCCCATTCCTATTCAACTTCATCATAGACGTACTAATGGACTTAACCCTAACACACTTCAGCGACTCAGGGATTGACTTGCTACCAGGGATGGAATAATCTCGTCGACTTAGAATATGCGGACAATATAGTCCTTCTAGGCGAGGACGCTGACAAAATCCTGCAGAGTCTACTGAACACCTTGAGCAACAATCTTCACATGTTTGGCATGCGATTCGCCCCTGTAAAATGTAAGATGATGCAGCAGGATTGGACTTCACCGACCCCTAAATTAAAAATAGGAAGTGAAGTGGTAGAGCACGTTGACCGCTTCACTTACTTGGGAAGTACCATCAGCCAGTGCCAACGGCTTGATCGCTGACGAAATCTCAGCCCGGATATAGAGGGCTAGTTTCGCATATGCCCGCCAGTTTACGCCGTCTCTGGCGTAGACGTGATATCCGGCTGGCTGGCTATCGACCAAAGAGCGTGTGTACTGCTCAACAGTCCAGCTCGTCCTCCTTTATGGCTGTGAGACCTGGTCATTGAAACTGGAAGACATGAAAAGGCTGATTAGCTGTCTTCGATCATAGGTGTCTGCGTTCTATCTCCCACGTGAAGTGGGATAATAAGGTGAGCAATATTGAGGTTAGGCATCGGTCGACTGCTAGGTAAGGCGAGGAAATCAGTCGACGAGACTGTGAAATTACATCGACTGAGATGGTTAGGACATGTGTTACGTATGCATGCCTAGTCATCGCCTTCCTCGACAATGGGCAATGTTAGCTGATATAGGACCAGGCTGGAAAAGAGCTAGCGGCGGTCAAACGAAAACATGGCACCAGTCAATGAAATCTACAACAGTTAGTCTAAGCCACGTAGGAAGGTGTAGACTGGCTTCCTGACTGGTTGGGGTCCTCGAGACGGTAAAAACCAATGAAGGCTGGAAACAATTGGTGACGGCTCAAAATCGTTCCCAGTGGCTAGCGGAGATGCATCTACTCCTTGTGACTTATGATTTCCAATGAAACTGTTTTGTTCTCCGTTATTACTATTCCTTTGTCTCACCACACCTCTGTTTACTGTCTATATTATTATGCATTTCTCCTATTTTCTTGTCTTGCTTTGTGTGCTACATGGAGTGTAGGGAGTGTGGCTGACTTGAACTGCCGCACATATGTACAAAGTTCTATGTCGAAAACCGACCGACCGAACAATCACAAAGAGTGAATGCATCTGCACCACCAGCCACCACCGATAAAAATTTTCAGCCTTATCGCCGATTATCTCAAGTCACTGGGCTTCACCATCGCGAAGACCACAACCAGACAGTCTACACTGATGAAGCGATGGTTTTCGTTAGACCACCAGCACTAACACCACTAGCTAACTCCATTCCAACCTTATACATCCCATGTCAGCAATACCTAACATCGCCAGTCGTCAAGGAAGGCAATGGCTAAGCATCCATGTATAATAAATGTCCTAACCATCCATCTTAGGCGGTGTCATTTCACATATACCTCGTCAATAGATTGACTTCCCCTCCTCCTCCTCCTCCCTCCTCCTTACCTACCACTCCATCTATGCTTCACCTCAATATCCATTACCCCATTACACATGACATCTAACACGGGACCTAGATAGAACGCAGACACCTACAATCGAACAGCTATCTAGCTGAACTTTTCGTGTCTTCCAGTCTCAACGGGCATGTCTCACAGCCAGCCAGTCAGCCATCTATAAAGGAGGACAGAGCGAACTGTTACTGAGCAGCACACACACACACCTTGGTCGACAACCAGCCAGCCAGCCAGCCACCCGGATATCACGTCTACTAAGACAGAGAGAGATGGCGTCAGTTGGCGTTGGTTGATGCAGCTTCTCGAATACGTGGAGTGGTAAACACACTCAGCCACAACCTTACTCCAGCCTGCCTGGCTGCCTACCTGTAAGCTAGAAGTGAGTCGATATAATCCAATCCTGTTGTGTCCATCAACTTACATTTGACAGCACCACAAGCGAATCGCTCCCCATTCCAAACATTCGAAGATTGCTTCTCACCTCAAGGTGTTCAGAAGACCGTGTTTGCATTTTGTCAGCGTCTTCACCTGGAAGGAATACATCATCAACATCCGCATATTCTAAGTCAACGAGACTATTATTCCCTGGTGGTAACAAGTCAATCAATCCCTGAGTCGCTGAAGACAGTCAGTGTTAACTGCATTTGCACAAACATCTATGATGAAATTAAAGACAATTAGCGACAGTCGTTATCCTCCTTCTTTTGGACACCACTGGCTGTCAGTCAAAACAGTTTATCAGACGACAACTCTCCGCAGGCTCTCATTCGGCTGACTGACTGACTGACTGCATGAATTCAAGTAGAGTGAGAGTCTTAATTAGTGCGATGTATTTTCTCGGCATCCTCTCTCTTCACAGCCCAGCATCGTTATAGTACCTCTCAATCGACAGAGTCGAATGCACCTCTGACCTCAAGAAATATGACGATCAATTGGATCAATTAAAACATCCTCTTCCTGGTCTAAAGACTGGCTGCTGGTTCTCTTGTGTTTCTTTCTCCGAAGCACCACTTAGTGTCTACACATATTTACAGACTGAAAAGTACAAACAGCAGAGACAGCAGTCAAACTTAGTTTTAATTGAAGATATAAGTATAAAACTTGGGCACTGTGGTGGCTGAGTGTAACTCCATTATGGATAAGATTTTATTTTGATAAACTGTCACACAGTTTTACACAGTAATATTAACTGATGCGACCACGTTTCGAGCACAATTTATTATTCCCACTCATAATCATATCAAGTCACTCACTCACTCACACAACTTTCTTGCTTCATTTATATACATGAGTGGAATTCATGATTAGACATTTGAATAAAAAATAAACATAGGATAATGTACATTCAGAAATCATAATAACCATATGAGTGTTATTGATCAATTACAATCAGATGGGAAATAAGACGAGTGTTTTTATAGTCGAAATAAGTAACTTGTTAGACTGTTGTGATTTGCAGATATCGAACTCATTCATAGGACAAAGCTGCCCATTGAAGAAATTATCTTAGGAATTCAGTTATGTCTCACATCTACTATCTTTAAATTCCAAGGCAAAATTTATAGACAAACAGAAGGTGTAGCAATGGGATGGATCACCAATATCCCCTGTCGCAGCAGACATATTTATGGACAGCTGGGAAAATATTGCTCTTAATACATTCACCTAATCCTACTCCAAAAATATGGTGGAGATATGTGGATGACACTTTCACACACTGTGTTAAAAACACAACATATCTCTCTCTAGCTTCTTGACACATGTAAACTCACTAGTAGAGGGAATAAAATTCACATTTGAATCGCAAAATAAACAAGGAGAATTAGCTGTGATGTTCGATTGTAAAATAAAACGAATAGAAGAAGGTAAAGTGCACATTAGCGTTTATGAAAAACCAACGCATTCTAATAGATATTTAGACTTTAATTCATCTCATCCGTTAACTGTTAAGGCAGGCTTATTTAAGTTAAGTGTCTAACAAACCGAGCAGTAGCTCTAAGTAGCACAAGAAAAGACCTAAATGATGAAATAAAACAGATAGAAGAAGAGGCGTTGGCGTTAAATAACTAACTATCCTATAAAATTCATTAGGAAGGTCAGTAAAGACCAAAATCAAAATCGAAAAATAGTTGTGAAACTAGTAATGATAACATAAATAAGAGAGAATATAAGTCATTCACTGTTATACCACGTAAGGAGGGACATCTGAGACCCTCCCTACATAGGAATCTAAATAACAAAGCAGGAATCAGGGTGGCGGTGGCATTCAAACCTACAAACTCACAGAGGGACAAGCTTTGTAGGCTCAAAGACCCGGTGGACCCAATTAAACAAAATAATATAATTTACAAAATACCTTGCAATGACTGTGAGTTAGGTCAACTTCATAAGTCAAACTAGTAGATCGGGGTTAATCAGATTGTCGGAACATAAGAATTTAGCTGCGGTAAGAATGGTCGACCCCGAGAAGATAAATAATTTAGAAAGGCAGCTCAGCACTACATTGCACTGCATGCATTAACACACAACCACACAATAGGGTCGTGGGAGAGGGTTAAGATTCTAAGAAGTAATCTGTTTAGGTGGAGAGAGAGAGATTGATTACTGAATCCTGGCTGGTTCATCGAGTCTACACCCAGCACAAGCAATTGGAATGACTCAATGGAGATACCAGAAATATGTATGGAAGATATTATTACCACCAATCAATCAATCAGTCAGTGAAATCAGAGGAGGATAATAAATAATCTGAAATTGTATTCTATTTCAATTCAATTCACGTACATCACAACATTCGAACAAATTACTCACTTATTTTGACTATAAAAACACTCGTCTTATTTCCCATCTGATTGTGTTTGATCAGTAACACTCATATTATTATTTCTGAATGTACATTATCCTATATTATTGATTTGTATTCAAATGTCTAATCATGACTTCCACTCATGTATATAAATGAGGGAAAAAAGTTGTGTGAGTGAGTGACTTGATATGATGATTATGAGTGGCAATAATAAATTGTGCTCGAAACGTAATCAGTTAATATTACTGTGTAACACTGTGTGATTTATCAAAATAAAATCTTATCCATAATGGAGTTTAATTGAAGATGCCCCATTCATTCACACATACGTGCACAGGACAGATAATTCACACATACCCATTGTTTTTTTAGGAGAACATTTATCTATAAATAAAAAAATCTCGTATAAGCGTTTACAAAACACAATGAACAAGGCAGAAAATCGACATTTGTGTGTGTGTGTGTGTGTGTGTGTGGTGGGGGTTAATGATAGATACTTAAGAAACTATGGTGATAACGATGATGAAAAATTTCAACACTTACGATTGCATAGCTACAGGATCGTGATTGCATATATCAACTGTTTCAGTTGATCCGATGATTAGCTGAGAATCATCTCTTGCCGGTCCTGTAACAACAACATCATTGTATGCCATAAATGAATTGTTGTTCACAGAGGGACAACTGTGCCCATTCACATAACATGATAAACATTGTACAGGTGAATCTTCAGGTGGATCTATAGAACAGACTTCGGGAGTAGCAGTATATGCGACAGGTATTGAAGTACTCGAAGTAGTAGTAGCAGTAGTAGTAGCTTTTATGTCCAAATCAATAAAATCATCTACCAAAGTGTTGACGCTTCTTTGTTCAGATAAATTTGTTGATATATTAAAGTGATTATAAGAAGAAGACGGGATTCTTGCCGTTGAAAAAGACGCTGATGCTGATGACGGCGATGATGATGGCGAGGATGACGACGGTAACACTCCATTATTCGCTACTGGTGATCTCGTCGATTTAATTCGCTTAGAATTCAATACTTGAGATTTGGATGAGCCATTGATATAATATAAACAACAAGACTTCGATGATGTTGAAGGGGATAAGGCAGACGGTGAGAAGTGAATGGTGGTGCTGCTAGTAGCAGAACAATCATGATTATGATTATTATTGTTGTTGTCAGTGCTAATTCCAGCATCATCATTATCACAATCCAAATTTCCGTTTATCTGTGAAATGAAACCATTCCCATCATCATCATCATCATAATGTGAACTTGATACAGGTGGTAAGTCTTCATCATAAGGTGGTGAAACAGAAAATAGGTCAGAGTCAAGATCATTCCCTTCTATATATATATGGAAAAAAAGAAAGAAAGAAAGAAAGATGTGTTGGGTGATTGTAAAAATTCTAAAATGCAATACAGTATTATGAATGGGCAGAAGTTAGAATTCATGGACTGGCTGGCCATTGGATCGGGTCCCAGTGGCCTAATGCTCTACGAGCTCGCTAGCCTTGTAACCAACCAGAAGGTCCTGGGTTCGAACCCCTGACGGTGGGTACGTACTGATGAAGAGTCTCAAACTAGGACGAAACAGCTGTCCAGTACTCCCTGTGGCAGGTTTTCCAATGGTTCTCTAACCAATGTCAGCTGGTCATGATGAAATCCTATAAGCAGTATGGTTTATAAAGGTATCTACTACCGCACAGGCATTGTTTACTCAAAAAACACAAAATTGTCGTCGTCGATGAAGATAAGAACAGAAAGCTGTCATGGAATGGTCGGTCAACTGACAGAATTCTACACAGCTGGGTAGCCATCAGTAGAAAACGAAACCTGATCCCATCGCTTGCTACTCACATTCGGCGTATATGTAGTCTTGATACAGTAGAGGAAGAGTGAAATCTTTTGAGAAAAAATGCCTAATAGAAAGTGGACTTCCATCACGTTTTATGTAGACAAGAATAGACAGTAAAATCCTATCAAAATGTGACTGATCATCCGAGATCACCCAAGAAAATACTATACATGAGCTTGGAATTCAAAGGTGACTTAGCTTCCGAAACCATTAAAGGAAGGATCTCACACTGTCACTGGAAGGAACATTCCCTGCGGCATCATTGAGAATAGAATTTTCCAGTCAACGAATACTGTTCAATAACCTGAAAGACAAGATCCCGCAGTTGACCAACTCTATGTGCGCTTATTAATTCACCTGGTTGTGTAGAACTAGGTATATCGACCGTTCCACTCAAGTCTTGTTCAAGAGGGTGCAAGAACACTATCCTGCATGGTAGTAGTTACGAAGAGGTAGAAGTGGAGCAATAAGAAGCGCAAGCATTGAACATCTGGTCGACAATGATCACCTAATGATCACTACAGCCTCCGCCATCAAAGTCATCTGTCTGTAAGGCGAAAAGTAATTTGCCCAAATCACTACGTATCCGCCGACTCATCTAGATTGCTGATGCCATCTTTGGCCATCGAAACAGAGATAAGCCAAATCTCTGTATACAGAAAGAGTTGGTTCAACCCCCTCCCCCCCCCCCAACTTTCATAGTCCCTCTACGTTAAAGTATGACAATCCCCATTTCATATTTTGGCTCTACTTATTTTTCGTTTTGTTTATTCAATTCGTATACACTCTTCCATTGTTACATCAATTGTTAGTTGCTAATACTATTCTCACTGCGAATTGTCGCCGGTATTATTTCAGTTGTCCCACTTGCCATTGTTAATCCAAAATTTTGTTTTGCAGCGTTGAATTCCGTGTAATCAAATTTCACACAGTGTTAAGTTAAGTGCCTACTAATTCGCTACTATAGGGTGCCACCGACAATTATACATCTCATCCAACAGTTGTACGACAATGCTGCATGCCAAGTTATCCACAACGGGAAACTCATGGAATCCTTCGAAGTGAGGACAGGAGTAAGACAAGGCTGCCTACTATCACCAATGATTTTCGTGATTGTAGTAGACTGGATAATGCGACAGACAGTGGGCCAGGCAGCGAGGAAACAGGCATAAAATGGACTCACACAAAAAAGAACTTGGAGGATCTGGACTTCGCCGATGATATATGTCTGATTTCCCACAAACTGGAAGATATGCAAGCGAAAAGCAACAAGTTGGCAGAAGAAGTATCTAGAGAAGATAGGACTTCAGGTGAACATAGATAAAACAGAGGTAATGAAGATTCCTGGGCAACAACACTAACAGCAACAACTGACAACAATCAGCATAAATGGGAGGAACCTGAAAGGAACAACCTCTTTTACCTACCTTGGAAGCATCCTTTCAACTACAGGTGGGTGGAACTGACGAGGATATCAAAGCAAGAATCGGAAAAGCAAGACAAGACATTCGTGTGTCTCATAACCTTGACCTAGTCGTTTCATCTGACTACATGATTTATTTCTTGACAAGCAGACACCAACTCACTGTAAGATCGCACAAATGCTGCCAACTGAAGATACACTACAGGCGTGTGTTAGAAAATAAAAAATCTTTTGGGTTGGTTGTGCAACCAACCTAACCAAGTGGATCAATATATTACCACCATATATATAGCTTGCAAACTGGAGATATTTTGGTGACTGTTTCTTCAAGGTTTCTTTGATATTTTTGCTATTAGATCGATATAAAATAGATGCCTTACGGGATTACTATCGTGAATGCTAATCTACTCTACTCTACTCTACTCTTTACTCTGCTACTCTAATGGTGCAATATGAAAAGAAAGAAAAAAACTCAATTACAAAGTAAAATTAACAAACCTCTGGACCAGATAAGAAGTTCTTCACTGGAAACGGATGAAGACTGAGAAGGAGAGCGTACATGACGTTGCATTATATTTTCCACAGAAGTACCATCAGCATCATGATTGTTGGGATTCACTAGTGCCATGAATCATACATACTATATAAAGTTTTTTGCATTAGGTCTACAATTGAACAAATACTACAGGAAATGAATCTTGGAGAAAGCAATGTCAATAAAATTATATGACAAGATTGAAAGGAAGCAAATTTGAAAAGAAAGCAATCATAATAATTTTACGAAACCACTTCTCAACAGTTCGCTCCGTCCTTCTCTATGGCTGGCTCTGAAACATGGCCAATACGAGTTGAAGACATGAAAAGGTTGACTGTTTTTGATCATAGATGTTTACGATCTCTTTCTCACGTTAGGTGGCATAATAAGGTAAGTAATGTCGATGTTAGGTTGGGCGTAGAGTGTTGGGTAAAGAGGGAAAATCACTCGAAGAGGCTATTAAGTTACATAGATTGAGATGGTTAGGTGACGTGCTGCGCATGCCTAACCATCGCCTCCCCCTCCCGATAGGCATTACTAGCTGATATAGGTGAAGGTTGGAAAAGAGTAAGTGGTGCCATGCCAAACAAAAACATGGCATAAACCAATCCATGAAATCCTTGACGGTTAAACTGAGTCAGGTAGGGAGGGAGATGCAGACTTCCGGGTTGGGGCCCGCCCTCGGGACTCTAAGAATCAATGGCTGCAAACAATAGCTGGCATGGCTCAAAATCGTTGTCAATGGCTTACGCAGATGTATTCACTCTCTTGTGTAATCTTTCATATTCCTTTCTACCATTACTCATTCTGTTTCACTCTTATACTTGTCAAAACTCTATTGATTCCCTTCAATCATCTTCTTGTCTACCTTTGTATGCTATTTGGAACGTGGCAACTGAAACTGCTGCACTTCGGTGCCAAGTTCTATGTTGAATCCAGACAGAGAGACCTGTTATGCAGCACTGAAGTGCATATAAATTGTGATTTGTGACGAAAGTAAAATACTGAATAACACACACAACTTGGCAACTCTCAATGGAAAGTTTTACGTACAAGTAAAAAAATCTTTATACAACTACTAAAGAGACTGATGCATTACTAATGAAAAATGGGGTGTATCTGACCTTGATTAGCATGACTGACTGACTGATTGGATTCAACTTAGACCTCTGTACAGATGTACAGTAGTTTGAGTTGCCACACTCCCTCCACCTACTACACAAAGCATTAGAACAGAGTACAGACAGATTCAAAAGACAGGGAGATTTTAAATATATAAGTGCTAATGAGGCGAAAAGAATAGTAATGTGGAAGAATAACAGAGTTTCATTGGAGTGGATAAATCCTCACAAAGAGTGAATGCATATGCACCAGCGACAGCCATCACTGACAACGATTTTCAGCCAACCGTACCACTAATTGACGCCGGCTTTTATTGGTTCTCAACACCATCCCACGGATCCCAATCAACCAACCAGTCAGTCAGTTAGGCAGTCTACACCTCCCTACATGACTCACTGACTGGCGTAAACTAAGTGTTGTGGATTTCGTAGACTGAGGATGAAGTCATGTTTTCGTTAGACCACCACTACTACCACCACTAGATAACTCCATCCATCCTATTTCACTCAATGCCTAACATCGCCAGTCGTCAAGGAAGGCGATGGCTAAGCATACATGCATAACAAATGTCCTAACCATCCATATCAATCGGTGTCACTTCACATCCACCTCGTCAATACATACATTTCCTTACCTAGCAGTCGACCGATGCTCATCGCAATACTGGTCACCCTATTACACCTACCACCTGACACAGGACCTAGATAGAACGCTGACACCTACAATCGAACAGCTATCTAGCTGAACTTTTCGTGTCTTCCAGTCTCAACGGGCATGTCTCACAGCTAGCCAGTCAGCCACCCATAAAGGAGGACAGAGCGAACTGCTGCTGAGCAGCACACACCCTTGGTCGACAACCAGCCAGCCAGCCAGCCACCCGGATATCACGTCTACTAAGACAGAGAGATGGCGTCACTTAGCGTTGGTGGATGCAGCTTCTCGAATACGTGGAGTGGTAAACACACTCACCCACATCCTTACTCCTGCCTGCCTGCCTGCCTATCTGTAAGCTAGGAGTAGTCCAGTCCTGTAGCATCCATCAGCTTACATTTGACAGCACCACAAGCGAATCGCTCCCCATGCCAAACGTTCGAAGGTTGCTTCTCGCCCAAGGTGTTTAGAAGACCGCGTTTGCATTTTGTCAGCGTCTTCACCTGGAAGGAATACATCATCAAGATCCGCATATTCTAAGTCAACGAGACTATTATTCCCTGGTGGTAACAAGTCAGTCGGTGAGTTGCTCAAGTCATTTAGGGCTAAGTCCATTAGCACATATACCTACGATGAAATTAAACAGAAATGGAGACAGTGGCTATCCTCCTCCTGTTGGCCACCACTGGTTGTCAGCTGACAACTCTTCGTAGGCTCTCATCTGGCTGACTGACTGCATGAATTCGGGTAGAGTAAGTGCCTTATTTAGTGCAATGATTAGCATAAGTCGAAGAAGACTATTAGCAATTTAAAGTGAGAAAATGGTGTTGGGCTACCTGATGTAAACGACGGACGTATGGACTATGCTGATTACACATACTTACCGCTTATTATATGAAATTCTTTAAAATGTTTTTCTGATATACAACACATTCAGTATATATACAGGAAAACATGAACTAATATTTATGTCATGCGAAATACATTCTGACTTGCAAAAACATTCGTATCTACGTCGTTTAGCTCGTGTTACACATTAAGTAAACAAGAGATCGAAAATGCATTATCTCATTATTCAGTTGGAGAAAACATTTAGTTCATTTCTACAACATGGCTCAGAACACAAGAAGAATCTCAGCACAGTGAAGACATCGTCGAAATCACTACAACTTCACCCCAAGGCAACAAAAGCAAAAAAAACGCAACGTAGTTTATTCAGGGAAGTGTTTCAAATTTCGAGTACTAATATATTAAATGTGATACAGTACATTCACACGAGAAAGAGGGAAAAGCAATGAAAATGCTAAGAACGACAGGGAGAGTATATAGACATTTGAAAAATCCATAATCTTACTATGAACGGTCTGTCTGTTTTCGACATAGAACTTTGCACAGATGTGCGGTAGTTCAAGTCGCCACACTCCATGTAACACACAAAGCAAGAAAAGAAAGTAGAAGAAATGCATAATATAGACAGTAAACAGGGATATTAGACAAAAGGAATAGTAATAACAAGAAAAACAAAACAGTTTCATTGGAAATCATGAGTCACAAGGAGTAGATGCATCTGCACTATGCATTGAGAACAATTTTGAGCCGTAATCACCGATTGTTTCTAACCATTGGTTTTTACCGTCTCGAGGACCCCAACCAGTCAGGAAGCCAGTCTACACCTTCCTACGTGGCTTAGACTAACTGTTGTAGATTTCATTGACTGGTGCCATGTTCTCGTCTGACCGCCGCTAGCTCTTTTCCAGCCTGGCCCTATATCAGCTAACATTGCCCATTGTCGAGGAAGGCGATGACTAGGCATGCATGCGTAACACATGTCCTAACCATCTCAGTCGATGTAATTTCACAGTTTCGTCGACTGATTTCCTCGCCTTACCTAGCACTCGACTGATGCCTAACCTCAATATTGCTCACCTTATTATACCACTTCACACGGGAGATAGAACGCAGACATCTATGATCGAAGACAGATAATCTTTTCATGTCTTCTGCTCTCAATGGCCAGGTCTCACAGCCATAAAGGAGGACGGAGCGGACTGTTGAGCAGTACACACGCCCTTTGGTCGATAGCCAGCCAGCCGGATATCACGTCTGCGCCAGAGACGGCGTAAACTGGCATATGCGAACCTAGCCCTCTGTATTCGTAATGAGATTTCGTCGGAGATCAAGCCGTTGGCACTGGCTGATGGTACTTCCCAAATAAGTGAAGCGGTCAACGTGCTCTACCACTTCACTTCCTATTTCTAATCTAGGGGTCGGTGTAGTCCAATCCTGCAGCATCATCTTACATTTTACAGGGGCTAATCGCATGCCACACATACGAGGACTGTTGCTCAAGGTGTTCAGTAGACTCTGCATTTTGTCAGCGTCCTCGCCTAGAAGGACTATATTGTCCGCATATTCTAAGTCGACGAGATTATTCCATCCCTGGTAGCAAGTCAATCCCTGAGTCGCTGAAGTGTGTTAGGGTTAAGTCCATTAGTACGTCTATGATGAAGTTGAATAGGAGTGGGGATAATGGGCATCCTTGATGGACGCCACTGGTCGTCACCACTTCAGATGACAACTCGCCATAAGCCCTCACCTGGCTGCATGAGTACGAGTAGAGTGCATGGCTTGATCAGTGCAATGTATTTTCTCGGCATTCCTTTGACAGCCAAGCTTCGCCAGAGAACCTCTCGGTCGACAGAATCGAATGAACGCATTCATTTAGCTCTATTTAATCGCCACAATTAACGAGCACACTAGTTATTATGATTCAAGGGGGACTAATTAGCCTTAAAAAAAAACATTTGAATAATAACGAGTAACAACTAGAAACAAGATAATTACTTCACTACCAAGCACATTTCTGAAGAGGGCGAAGTTAGACTATAGGGTCACTGCGGGTGCGAACGCTCCGATGACCCTGAAAGCATACTAGTCATTGGCCAACCACACCTGTCATTATTATAGCACAAATATGAACGCTATTTACCGGCGAATTACACTCGGATCACGTTTCTAAGTACTGTTTCGACAATATGTTAATAGCTCGTTGGGGTTAGGAACACGATTATAATTAGGGTGAGGATTAAGGTTGAGGTTACGATTAGGGATAAACGTCATTCTGTGTGTGCAAAAGTTATTTATTTTTATGGTTGACAGGTTCAAGGTCACTCCTGCGTTCGTACCCCTTGGTTTAACTTTGCTCTGAAGACGATGCATAAGGCTCATGATTTCATATAACTCGCTTTTAGTTGTTTCAGAATGGTTTTAGGTTTTTGGTGGGTTACACTAAAATCTACAACTTCTGCCACAATTCTGAT